CCAGAAAATTATAAAGGGTAGCTACTTGTTTTTCTTTTCTTGGTCCAAGATTACCAATACTTTCCAGAGTGATTCTTCCATCATAATATACATGTATGTATGTATATTCTTCCATGATCATCATCTAAAAAACCTAGGTGATGATATATAGAATACAAAAACAGAAAATCCTTTATTACATCCACCTCTGCATGATTTCAAGAACTCTCCTCGTATGATGTTGCCACATTAATCAGTTAAAAATTATGAGTGTGGTCTCTAACATTACATGTAAAATAACAAGAATTTGCATTTTTGAAAAACATCAGTCGGAGGATAAGGGAGGGATTGTTTGTATAATTAACATATAAATTAAAACTGATGCATAATTCTATGTTGGAGATGGCCCTTTAGAGTTTAAGTGGACGTGACTAAGTTTGTAAATAATATATAAACAATATAGTTAATTACTTCTGAATAAAACATGGACGGGGTAGAAATTCAAAGGGCTTAAAAGTGAAACTGAGGGGACGACACTAGGATGAAAGTCTTAGTGTTTTGTTTACTCCACGCTGTCCACACAGTTTTAACAAAGAAGGCTGAAGATTGTTGGAGCTAGCTTGACCTTAAAAAGTGGGGTTTTAATTTTTTATTTTTTGAATGGGGTAAGGTTGTTTGGTTTGTTGCTGCGAAGCTGAAGAGGATGTTGATGGTGGTGGTGGTGACGCTGGTGCATGCTAATAAAGACACAAAACAGGAAACTGAAACTTGTATCAAACATCCTTTTCTCATGGGCCTGCAAAATTCAGGCACATATCCTGCAACAGAACCAAACACCACCCACCCTCCTAATGCGTTGATGATGGGAACTGTTGAACATCCATTCCTTTCGTTTCCTCATCGGCAGAATCTTCTGTGATTTCATGCCACCCACATGGGGTGTATCTGTTTGCAACTGTCTACTTCTGTACAAAAAGTTCTGTATGCATATGGTTACCCGCCGATGCAAGAAACATATTACATGATGACATGAGTTTCGATATACTGTTGTCATGGGCCAACACGCAAACATTAACCAGCTAATTTATATTTCATTCTTTCGTCCTTTCTACCCCCCCGCCTTTTTTCTTTTAAAAAGAAAGAGTGGCAATCTTAACTTTGGTTATTGTTTGCTTATCTTGAAATTAGCGTAATTTGGTAGGAAGAATATTTATTATTTGGTAACAGTATAAAAAGCTGATCTGGCTGTTGCAAACTTTGATCACACGATCACAGGAAATTGAGATTTTAAGTGATTTGCTCAAAGTTTATAGTAAGATGAATTCTGAGAAGGTAATGTTTTGTATTTGGTTAAAAATAATTCCAAGAATTAAGCTACTCCATACTGTCTAGTAAGTACTAACACGATCATCTGTAAATTCTTGTTTTTCTTCTTTCTCAGACCTCACCAGTAGGAGGGATGTAAGGATGCATCCTTCGCTAGATGGGAGCTTTCTAACTTCTATTCTTTGTATTTATCAGATAAAGTTAATCTTGAAAAAAAAATCCCACAACTTCTTTTAGATATATATATTGAAAATTTAATAAATCATTTGCATGTGTAAAGCTGGGCATGGGAGTTCATCAGGTTAGAGATACTCTAACCTATCTTAGTATCCGAGTAAATCGTGTATTTTCTACTGATCTCCAACTACATCTACATGAAAATAATGTCTTTCATAAATGCAGGTATAATTGTCATATATGACGGGACGTACGAAAACATAAAACCTAGAAAAATAAATAATTTTCTGATGGGAAAAAAAATGGTATAAAGAATTCTCAAGTTGGAATGTACTGTTCATCGCCTTCCTCTCTATGAACACATATTTGATATCAACAGGTTGTGATGTTATGGATTAATGGTTGAAAGTCTTTCTGCTCAAGATAAAGGACGTTAATCAAAGCAAGGATACTTAATAGAAATAAAAGCGGTAATCAATTTAGAGTAACGATGTTGATGAAAATGAGACTGTATATCAATCTACTGTAAGGAGGAGTTGTTTGAGTTTTTACATAGAACATGAACAGAGAAGTAAAAGTAATTTTTAAAAAAATATAAAGTGAAAAAATATTTTTAAATTGAAAAACTTAGATTTAAACTGGATAAAGAATGGATGTCCTTATGAAAATGTCCTTGGAGCCTGGCAATGATGACAATTCGAGTTGTTTTTCTGTAATAATGGTATTTTTAAATCGATTTATGTATGAATTGAGATTAAGTTTCTCCTTAGATGATTTTATAAATATATCGATCTAATATGATTAAAATAATCAAATAAATTATCTTGGATGTTGACTCTAAAGTTTAAACTCCAAAATGAAATGAAATCGAGCAAATACTTTTCACCGTCGGCGACCTCATTTTTTTTTTTTTCTTATTAGAAAACGAAAAAAAAAAAACAATATGACCGGGAACATTTGGGCCTGGGCTTTCTGGCTACTGACCAGCCCAATAAAGGGTTAAGATCAAAGACCATTGATCCAGTGGATTATTCGAACACCGGGCTCATATAGGGCTTGTGTTTCCAAAACCTACTAGTATTGGACATGCCCTGCTTCTAATCCCAGTTCCACCTAACGAAAAGGAAAAGAGCAAATTCAATGGCCCGTTTTTATTTTTTATTTATAGATAATACTTAGAAGTTTATATTTATGTAAAAGAAAGAGTAAATCTAGAAATCAATACCGAAATGAAAGAACATTTTTTGGTATAAAAGGAAAGCTCAAGCCTTTCTTGGAGATTTTATTTTATAAAGAACAATTTAAGCTGTGCTAGGAAGATAATTTGCACTTTTCTTAAATAATAATAATAATAATTCGTAGTATATTAATTAATAGGCCTCGAGGAAACATGGATGGTTCAAAAAGAAAATAGCCATAATAATTAACATGCCTTTCTATCATTAAGCAACTCGTTAACAGGCAATCTTCACGAAACACCATTCCTGGCCTGTCGATCTGGTGGTGGGAGAGAGAAATTGGGTTGTTTTTATTAGTTTACTGGGCAAGGCTTGTATATCTATAACTTTAAATGGGCGAAAGCAATCCATTTTATTTTTTTCATTGAAATAATATTTTTTAAATGGGTAAAAGTGCCTTTTCATTTTAAATTCATTTCCGCTTTTTGAAAGTTGTTTGTTCTTCCTGCCCATTTCGTCCACCACCTTAGTATTCTAATTGTTAGTATATTTCACTACATTAAAAAAATGTCAATATGCTTCATCGCTAGTTTGGATAAATATGAATTTTACGCTTTATCTCTCTGTTGTTTTCTACTTGACCCTGCAAGGCTCCTGATAGGCAATTCTTTCCAGCTACCTCCTCCACTCGAAGTATTCTCTCTTGCTGCTGCATCTCTAGTTTACGCAGGCACAGAAAGTTATTTTTACTGTTCTAAGTTAAGTGTTTCCTCCCTGCCCGTTAGGATCTGTGATGGAAGAGTTTTTTATATTTTGTTTATAGACAGAGATATAAAAAGGTTGGAATTCAAGAAATCTCAAGAAGAAAAGGGTCACTCCAGCCATGAACCTCATCCATTGTCAAACTGCATGCATGATATACATCCGTTGAAGAACACATCAAAACAGTGTATTTTGATTCCCAACATGCTGAATGAGTTGATCAAGATGAACACATCAAAACAGTGTATTTTGATTCTCAACATGCTGAATGAGTTGATCAAGATGAAATAAATCATTTTGTTATTACTACGTATGGATTATAAAAATATCGTGCGGTAGATATTGCGCCAGAGCGCGCGCGCATCTATATCTATATATATATATATATATCAAAATCTAAGTCATGGGTTTATCAATATCTGAAAAAAGAGGTCTTCAATTTATTGCCATCGCCATGGCATTATACACTACAATAATAGTACTAGGAGGTTGACGTTGGGCCAATACCCGGAAAAGTAGATTCATTAGTGGGAGTTGTACATTTTATAAAAGGTTTCCACGTATAGTACGAGGGAAGAGATTATTTTTTAAAGAATTTCTTGTTTATAAATATTTTAAAATAATATTTTTTATTTTTTAACATTTATTTTTAATATCAAAACATTAAAACTATATAAAAGAATAATTTAATTCTAAAATAAAAATACAGTTTTACCGCGATGCTATTAATGAAAAGCCTATGGAAGAAAGTAAGTTTTTCTAGGAGGAGAACCACAAGATCAAGAGATTTTAAGAGGGATTCCAATCATGAAAAGTTGGAATTGATGCGAAGCTTGAGCTCTTGCACATCATTATCGATCAATTCCTAGGGAGATAATGCTGGAGTTGCTAGGTTGCAGTGGCATTTAGTTGTGCTGAGGTCACGAAACCATAGCAGGAAAATACAATACAAGAATATCTTTCTCCATATAAAATAAAGGCAAAAGGAACAAAAAGAAAAGGAAAAAAAGATGGTTATATATATATATATATGGCCCAATATCTTTTGCGGGATGGTATCACATGCTTTGGGTCCCAAAACAACTAGTCACATTTTGCATAAATTGTGGCCCTCTGCTGTTGATTACAACAATGAAATATCTGATTGTTTCACCCAAACTGATAGAGCAGAGACATACGTATCTAAGTTGATCTTGATCGATCAATGAAGGCCGAACAGAGAGAAAGGCGAAAGGCGAACATCACTTTGACAAGAGGGTTAGCTAACATGGGTTACCCCTTGCACAATTTGTGGCAAATGAATACAAAAGAAAAGAGAGCGAAAGGGCTGGCTGGAAGATGGAAGGAGAGGAAAACTTTTTCCCTAGTGTTTCCACCTTTTGGTGTTGTTGCATGTTTGGATTCCCTGGGCATGAAAGAGAAAGATGCTTGGGTTTCTCAAGCATATAAAAATTCAAGTTTATCTGTTCAAATGCGGAAGTGCCGCAGTAACCTTTTCCACTCCGAGGCCTTTGATTTTGTATATAACAAAAGGAGGAAGAGGGACCATGAGTGGCATTTAGTTGGATGAATAATGAAGAAGACCTTTTACTGCACAAGCATCATAAAAGCTGCTAAGTTTCCATGTTATCCTATGGCCTTGGATCTTACAAAGGAATGATTTGTACTGAATGACAGCATCTTGAACCAAAGTAGAGTGATATGACTTCTGATTCACTCAGTATTGAAGGGAATCCATGGACTGCTTGTTCCATCATGAGATTTGAGGGTCAAATCCCTTCTAGAAGGGAAAAACCCTGGATCAAAATACTTTCTTTAATTAGAACCGGAGTACTCGGTGTCACTAGGCAAGACTTGCAAATTTTATCTTGTTTTGATCGTTTTTCAAGCTAAAAGTGCCATTAGAAAGTCAGGTACTGAATGAGATTTAAGAGTTTATCCTGCAAAGAGTAGGGTTTTGTTACATCCAAGAATCTCTCTTCTTTCAACTTACGCCTCACACTTTTGATTTATATAAACATTCAGGATACCGTGTACATGATTAACTTAGTAAAATAATACCATCTAGGATGGATAAGGAAAAACAGCTGGACATCAACTGGCAGGGGAGACGGAGATCAGGATGTGTTCCAGTCAGAGGTGGCTATGCTCTTCTAGAGGGTAAAAATAGGGAAACCCTTTCCTGGTTTTCCTGTATAGGAATTCCTTGTCTGTAAGGTGGCCTTCTGGTTGTGTCAGCTGTCAGGTGTCAACCTCCTAGAGTAAAAGGGAACACAAATTTGTTGAGAGTGAAGCTGCACTAGACTTGTGAAAAACTCCATTTCATGTAATTACAATTATTGCAGAAAGTGTACAACTTAGCCGATCTCTCATCAAGTGTTCTCATGGAAATTGAGAGACCGGGACAGTGCAGCAGGGTTCGCTTGCAACACTGAAGTTGTCCCAGCCATGTAATTTTTGTCTTCGTTTTTTGATTGAAAGCCCTTAAATAGACCTCCTCCATTAATGGAATTGGATTTTTCACTCATGATCCCGAGGGTCGCCCATATAGAGCTCTTTGCGGCTTCACTTGGATCATCAATCCTCGATGTCTTCGGAACCAAAACTCCTTTTACTGATTTGGTGCCCTCCCTCGAGGCCTCTTCTAAGTAGGCTGGATGAAGGATGTTGCCATCCCTTGAATGTTTACCCAGTGGAGAAGTAGGACTGGAGTCTTGGGTACAGTGTTTTAGAGAGGGTGATGGAGGGGATACACATGGCGGTACATTCCAAGGGCTCGGGACGGTACAACCCCAGTAAGTTGGTGCGGGGTAAAACGATACTGGAAAGCCTGGGGGGCAAAACGTAGGTGGAGGCAGCGCAGTGTTCCATGGATATGGCCAAGGAGGCCCGGGGAACCAGGGAACCTGGGAAGGAAAGGATTGATAATCCTTATTAACTGCTCCTCTCGAATTACCATTACATCCCTTCTCTGATGAATCCGAAGCTGTAGCGAGAGATCCACTTGAGCGATCATCCCCATTACTTCCTGCCCCTCCACAAGGTACAAAGATTCTATGTTCAGGCCTGTGATACTCATTTCGAACACTCTTTTGCGTTTTCTCTGAAAGATTCAACACAGAGGAAACAGATTCACAAAGACGAGAATCGGAACCAAATGCAAGGACTGTGCTGTTGTTTCCGAAAGCGGGGTTATGAACTCCATTCATGGCATGAACTTGAACTGTTCGGAGAGCATCTGATACCATTAAGTGACGATAATGTGAAGCTGAAGAGCTCTTATTCTTGCGCCGTCCGGCTCCCACGGGCACATTCCTCATGGTTCCTCCAGCAGTCCAGTATCTCTGACACTTTTTACAGAAATGACGAGGCTGATTGACATTGTAATTGTTGTAATAACAGAATTTAGTGTCCATGCTATTACATCGAGGGCATGGAAGTATTTTGTCAGGCTTCTTCGGAGTCTTTTCTTGTGAGATGCTTGTCTCACTTTGTTCTTCATCCTTACTGCTTTTCAGTGATGAAGTTTCCCTCTCAACTGAGGGAGTCTGTGGATTCTCACTAATTCTTGATGATGTTGGATCTTTTGACTCCTCGGTGATCTGACACGAGGTAACATCTTCTTGTTTCTCGTTGGAAATTTCCTCTCCTGAAGACTCCTGAAATGTCAAAAAAAAGAAAAAAGAATGAGAAGAAATAGAGACAACTTACTTATGTGGAGTTGTATAATTGCAATTACAATTTTTCAAACCAAAAGCAGGTGGGAATAGGTGGGATTGAGATTGAAATACAATCAGTTTCGTTAAAAGAAAACTCTGCAGGAGTACAGAGTTTAACAACAACTTCACACGGAACTGTCTCATTGTCAATTGGAAATAAATAGTTCAGGTATCCCAAGTACTAAAAAAACTTTTCGTGAAGCTGTTATCAGAGGCAAAACCATTAGATGTTATCGAGTTGCCACTAGTAAAGATCAGTCTAATGAACTGCAAAGCTTTCCCTAAACGACACGCAGTGCCATGCCAGAGATGGCAAAACAGAACAGTGATCCAATAGGAAAGACTGGACCGAGAAAATATGTGATAAATATGAAAAGTTGAGGAATCTGACAAAATCATATGATCCTCGATGGAGGAAATATCCGGATCAATCTTCCTAACTATTTCAAAATGGAAAGTAATGGTGAAATACTGATATAGAGCCTGGTGGTCTGCAGTTCATCAATACTAATTCTGCTTTAAAAGAAGTCTGAACGAAGATCTTCTAAAAAATAAGCACAGGGTAAAGTGCATATGGGAAAAATTTAGTAATAGTTATCGCCAAAACACGACAAATAATAAAAGTGGAAGGCGAAGATTAAAAACCCTTCTATGCCGCCAAGAAAAGGGAGAGAATGGAACAGTTCCTTTATTTTGAAATTCTAGAATTAACAGCAGAAGAATCTCAAGTCCGATTCCCATACATCAATGAGTGTTCCACCTCCTCCTAAATATCAAAAGACATGGATGAACTAAAATGGACGCACAAACAATTCCTTCGTTTTGAGATTAGAAGTCCAAATAGTAACAAAATAATTTTTATAATCAAGGCAAACTCAGAAATATGCAATCCCAGCCGACATACAAAATACACATACCCTGTGGTTGCCTTCTTGCTCTTCCTTGTCTTTTTCGTGCAAGCAAGTAGTAGCAGTGTAACAGTACTCCTCAGTCTCGGGTGGGGCAGCTGGTGTTCTTGAGGAAGACTCGTGCATGTTATTAGCACGAGACACATCCTCCTCCAGCTGATTGACTTGCAGTGGAATCGTCTTCCCAAACAGCTTGATGGCCAAATCCGACATTCTCTAGCTAAAAGAAGAGGCAATCCCTGTCTCTCAGCTTGTGCTGTGAGTGTTTTTTTTTAGTAGTGTATTTTTGGGGATCGGACGAGGTGGAACAGGGGAAGAAAGACAGAGTTTGAAAGTAATCTGTTCGCTGGTGGCAAGTAATTAAACAAAGTGGGGGAATGCCACATCAGAAAAAAGGCAAAATTTTGTGAGCCACAAGTTTATGTGGCCTTTAAGATCTTTCTTGCAGTTTGGATTCCCCACATTTGCTTGTAAGGATAATGCTGCCCGGTCCCACTCTTTTCTTCTTCTTCTTCTGCCATGTCAGCATTTCCCTCTGATCACAGGAGGCTCCCTTCATTCGGGGATCCACCGGACTTGGTCCTAAGGGTCTTGACCAACCCCTCGAACATAGATCAAAATTCACGCTAGTTCTATTGATTAATAAATCGTCGAATTTCAAAGTTTGATGCCAAGCTTGGATTAAGTTAGTTGCCCTTGAGTTTTCTAGAGAGAAATTATTAGGTCAGATCAAGGATGAGATAATTATAGCTACAGTGTAACATCTTTTGTAAATCGATTTCAAATAAACCTAGAATTTGACTCTCGTTCTCCAGCTCCAGGCTACACGATAGCTTGTATTTTATTTGAATTGGTTTTAGGGGTGGAAATCTAGGTTTTGATTTGTGTTCCATTGGAAATTAAGTTGAATTAGACCATAAGGAATTCGAGTCCAAGTATACCAAAGGGTGAAGTTTGAATAGGTTTCCTGTCCTAGTCACTTTTCATAGTCTATAGTCTATTTTATTTTGTCTAAAATATTTAATAGAAGATGTTTGTTTTAACAACTAATTTATAAAAAAACTAGTTAATAGAAAGTATTTTTCTGTTCATTTTTAAACTTAGTTTATTTGTTAAAAAATATTTTCAACTTATTAAATTCAATAAAATAGAATATATATATATATATATAATTTATTTATTATATCATCCAATTATTTCAATCATTCTCATTATATTTTCATTCTTTTTCATCATTATCTTATTAATACCATGACCATAACCATTTCATTGTTACTTTCTTCTCCCCGCTATCACCATTATTAAAAAAATATTCTACAAGTAAAATATTTAACCTAAAAATAATAACTTAAAAACTTATTAGAATTCAAGGAAGCTGGGCCATTTAAAATTTATGTACTAATTATGTTCACGCCACAATCTATTAATTAGAAAGAAAAAACTAACATATCAGAGAATGTAATTGACATAATTAAATTAAAATTAATTAGTAACTAGCTGAAAATTAATCAGCAAAACGCCGTCTGTGGGAATCGAACCCACGACCACATGGTTAAAAGCCATGCGCTCTACCAGCTGAGCTAAGACGGCATTCCGATGAGAAAACAAAACATATGATATAAGGCCCCTTTAGGTTGAGATATTGACAAGCTGTCAAGCTCGACTTGCCATGTAAGCACGTGGCAACTGACCCACCTTGCTGTCCTGCACAGCTACAAGGAATTAACAGCTGCTCCCTGCCACATCACCATCATATCTTACATGACCCACCTGCAAAAAGCGAAGTGAAAAGGTCACCTGACACATCCGTGCCGTTGATTCCCTTAACAAATTATATCTTGCAACGTGTCATACAAGAATCACACATTTTATTAAAAATGATAAGAAATATCTTAAATGATAAGAATTAGTTAAAAAAAATATACCCGATATTAATTAGAATTTTCTTATTTAATTTATTTTCTCCATCCTTTTTATACAGGTCCTTTATACCATGCGTGTTTCATAATTATAACATGATTGCTGCCGGAAACATCTCCCGTCGTATTTCATCAAGGCGGGGGGTTTTTATTTTGCAAAAGAATCTTCTTCAAGTGGCTGCCCTATGCTCAGTCAGGAAGGATATAACTTTCTTGGCAGCCGCGACGTGTCAAGTTGATGAAGGTGGGAGGACAGGAATAAATCTTTGTAAATTCTTTTTGATATTCAAAATTATATTAAAAACTAATTTAAAAAAAATTTAAAATATTTTTTGAATGTAAAAACAAATGCAATCATACCACCCTTTCTTTCTGTGCTGTTACAAAGCTTCACCTCAGAGGCTCTATAGTTAATTTTGTCCGCGCAGCATCCAACATTAAAATCTAGTTAATTAGACATACCTTTATTTAATCACTTTATCATCCAGTAAAGCTAGGGTAAATAGTGGCTTGCATGGTTCAATACGAAAATCAAACACTAATCTTGAGAGAAGAATGCTGCTTCTAGAAATTGTCTTAATTCGACTAAAAAAAAGAAAAGAAAAGAAAAGAAAAGTATATCGACTAAAAAAAAGAAAAGAAAAGAAAAGTATACCTTGACAATTTCTCACGTTGTTCCATGGACATCTCTTATTTTCTTTCGTAGGCTTTACTTTAATATTTTTTATTCTCTAGATTTTTTTTATCATAAAGTTAAAACTGAATGTAAAAAATAAGTATTATTAAAAGTAGTTTAATTAATTCCAATATTCAATTAAGTAAATATCAGCTACTAGAATCACGATCTTCATTTATCTTGGAAGGTCTGGAGTAAAAGGAAATCATAGATCACGTTCAAATGTTCATGAGAACATGAAAGGATCCCGATCTTATTCTTAAATGAAAGAGTTTATTTAGTCCCCTGCTTCTCTTTCACCCATTTTACTATGATTAATAGAGAATTTAACGAGTGCTCGTGGAGCAATATATCGTTAAATATTATTGAATAAATTTATTAAAATCTATTCGTTAAGTATTCTTTTTTTTTTTGGGAAAACAATTTACAAATGGAATTTTCTATTAGAGTTTCACACAGATTAATATGTAAATCCATGAATGATAAAATACGGATCTTGTGTCGGGGAGAGAATCTAACATAAAATTCTTTGTTTCTGTAAATTAATTATTTTATTTAAGAAATAAAACCATGTTCTCCTGCCAATTAAATAATAATTTTGCTTTACTCACTACCACGTAATTGATGGACTCGGCAACTCATCCTGCCGAGTCGCTACCATGCCATCATCGACTGTTCATCGTTCTGTTAGAACCTGAGCAATTCTATCGATATGGGATCAATTCTTGGAAGCCCAGTTATCATAGAATTATTTTCCATGTGAAGACGAAGACTCGCTGGGATATAAAAATAGCCGAAGAGGATTAGATATTTACTTAGTGCGATGAAAAAGCAAAGTGGAAAGTGAAAAGAAGTGGGAGGGGGACTGCCATTAGAGCAGAGCATGTCATCTGAGGCGGCGAAGGATGTCTACTGCTGATGAATGCTAGTGCATGCAATGGCCAATAACAGGGCTCTTGTATGTGTCAATTATAATGTCAGAGCACCGCAATTTTGACTTTTGGCCGACCACAAATGACACCACGGTTAAAATAAAGTGCTCAAATACGTAATGAAAAAAAATACAGCAGTCAGTACAAGATATAGGATGGGAAGACGGATGTGACCGATCATGGACCGACCTCAAATTCTTCTTTAGAGCAATATGTGCGTGCCTACTGTATAGTTGATTAATTAAAACGAGGAAGTTGACCATAAATATTGGATTACATAACTGGCCAGTAGCGCCGCGCGTAAGCGAATGCGAGGGTATACACTCCCTTGCTTATGTAGTTAATTTTATTACGAGCAAAGTATATAAACTTTTCAAATGTAATTTAAATAATCTTTTGTTTTTATAATTGGCCTGTGCTTTTTATCCCTAAATTCTTGTAGTTGTAAAGGGTCTTTTTCTTCAATGATGGTGCCCATAGAACGTTATCATTTGATGATGTGTTGGTTGGGTTTAAACACGCTATCTTTTTCTTTTTTTTTCCTTCCTCCAATAATTTCTTAAATATCCCAGCAATGTGACTGTTCCATAGTTTTTAAAATTGATGTATGGATTCTTGTGCAAATATTCACATGCTACCTCAATATTTCATCGAATGGTTAACATATATATATATATGCGCGCGTGCGTGTATTTATGCATGCATGCATGTGTTACTTGCTACAATAACAAGAGAGTGTAGCGGACCGGACCTTACAAGTTGAAACCAATAAGGGGAATCATTCACAATAATAAAAATAATTTAGCGTAAACTCTGTAGACGGAGAAATTAAGATTTGTCCTCATAGTTTTCAAACTACGAGGACAGAGATCAAGATCATAACGACGCAATCACCCTCGTAGACAACTGAAAGTACTTGCCAACAGCGGTAACAGACCGACTGGATGATTAGTAATTAGTGCCGTTGCTTATTGTTTCTCTCTTCCTTGCCACCTCCCCCTGCAAGAGGTGGTGGTGGGGCAAGGAGGAGTTTGTAAATTCTTTTGAACACTCCATTTAACGTTCTCCACTAACTGCAGATGGGACAAGGGAGCCGAGTCTCCTTCAATCATCACAGATTGACCATTTCATCTGCCCCTCTCCATTTTGACCTATGGAATTATGCACCTAGAGTTCTTTTGATGAAGATGGAACTTCTTGAAAGGATGCTTCTTGCCACCGAAAGGAAAAGGCAAAAAAAGGGCTTTTAGAGAGCCAGCCCATGGTGGGTAGACAGACTCCATTAACTAGAAACGCTTTTCTCTCTACCTTGATGACTTGGGCCACAGTGGCCGACTCAAACATCTATATCAATGGAGTCATTCAATCAATTTTAATTGTCATGTTAAAACTGATTTCACGTGTTAAATTGTTTTTTCAGGGTTTTTAGATATCAAAATAAATAAAGTATTTAATCTTCATGTTAATATCAGTTTCATATATGTAATTCTTTGTTGAGGAGTTTTATATATAAAAGAATAATCAAATTAATTTTAATTTTCATGCTTCCTTCCATGTTACTACTAGCACCATTGATTTTGAAACCACCTGTTCTAATTAGGGGAGAAAATAAAGTAATAAAAATTCAAATTACTTTCATTTTTATCACACACTAAACTAAACCATAACCATGGATTTGCCTCTGAATTAATCTAGATGGATAAAACAACATTCAAACAGGCTGGAATACAAATGTCTCAGCAACATGCATTTTAAATACCATCATGTCTAAGGAAAACTGATACTTCAAAAGCAGCTACAAATGGCAGGCAGTTTCCT